ATAGCTCACTATGAGTAAGAATGGACTCCACAGCAGCGGAGTAGCTTGAGCACACATTGTGAGGAGGGTTTCAATTTCTAAAAAGGATTAAATAACTAAAGAATAAATAAAAATTTGCATGTGATCTTGTATTGATTATAACAAACTCAGTAGTTTAGTTTCCAGTAAACAAAAAAATCTGAAAGTTTTGAAAGAACATATCTACATGCAAACCCCTAATAAATATCATTTATTATGCCTCAGAAATATATTTTGAATCAATCTAGTTTTCACCATATCCTATGGAACAAGACTAATTCAAGACAACCATTTAAATTTCCAAGACTACTATAATAGCAGCTAAATGAAGTTTAACCTCAACTTTTGGTACCTCTTCCCCATCTCGTCTTAAATCAATTCTTCTTCTTGTTGTTGTTTTTAAGTGCTATTGATTCAATTCTGACTCATAGCAACCCTGTATACAGTTTCTGAGCTGTGGCTGGTGAGCTTGAATGACCAACTTTGCAATTCAAATGACCTTTCGGTCCAAAGTTCATCCTACACTACTTATTCAAAAACATGCAGTGGTGCATCATTATATTCAAGAATATATACTCAGGAATATATAATCACTTAAACAACCAAAGGTCATATTCTGCAAGTAGGTCTCCTGTCTGCAAACACACAGGCTTTCTCTATCCACGAGTCCAGAGACTTCAGCTGCTCACTCTCTCCATGTCCTCATCTCTGCCTCCATCTCTGGTGTCCCTGCTTCTCTGGATAAGGTCCCACATTCCATTCTTGCTCTTCTTCCTTGATGGTCCTAGGGTCCTTTGTTCCTGGACTGTAACATTAACTACTCCCCTCTTTTTGTTACAGAACTTCTATTGTTACTGTTGCCACAGTATCAATTAGTCATGACAACAATTACTCACTAGTGAATCATAAGAATTTTATCCAAATCTCTTTTCACCAGACCCAGCTAAACAAAATGAAACCTATTCAGTTCCACTTCATTCTTAATATTATTGTATAAGCATTGATGGTTTAGAAAAACTTGCCATGGTTTACTCTCATAATAACCTTTAAGAACAAATCTGTTGCTATTGAGTTAATTTCGACTCAGAGCAACATTATAAGGTGTTGTAGAACTGTACCATCGGGATTCGAAGCCCGTGAACTTTAGGGAAGCTAACTATCACATCTCTTTCCTACTGAGTCTAAAGATGGGGCACAAACCACCAACCTTTAGATTAGGAGCTGATCAATGATCCACCAGGTCTCCTTATTCTTCTATATAAACTGATAATTTTATTTTTTGTAGCATTTATTACATCTACATATATAGTCATACAAACACATACACACACATACACATACATATGTTTAAAATTTATATATGTACCTGCATATAATACATAATGATCATTTATAATGATTTTTTCTTTGCATTCAATACATTTTCCTGGATTCTAAAAAAGTAATTTCTTGCTAGTTTCTTCACCATTGTATGTTGTTGTTGTAATGTGCCATGGAGTCGGTTCCGACTCATAGCGACCCTGTACAGGGTTTCCGAGGCTGTAAAATCTTTACAGGAGCTGAAAGCCTCATCTTTCTCTCGTGGAACAGCTGGTAGTTTCAAAGTGCTGACCTTAAGGTTCACAGCCCGATTCGTAACCACTACGCTACCAGAGCTCCATCCATTGCATCCCCAGTGCCTATTTCAGTTCTTGGTAAATATTAGTCAGCAGTCAATCATTTATTCACTTAGTCATTCAACAATGACTATTTGCATAGGCACTGATCTGAGCCTGTGCATACTTACAGAAGTTAAAGAAAACAACCTACAAATATACTGCTGCTAAAGAACAGCTACTTTAATGAGATGAATAGACAAGAACAACAGAATATATAATATAGAGTCAGTAACTAATAAATACTCTAAAAATATAATGCAGTCTATGGAGATAGAGTGTTTTGAAGGTAATCTATGAACAACGTATAGACTAGAAATCTCTATGGAAGTGACTTTTGAGCAGGCATTTAAATGAGACAAGGGAAGAGGAATGTAATCATTTGATGAAACAGTGTTTTAGGCAAAAAGCAGAAAGAACAAGTGCAATAGTCTTCAGGTGGAATTATGCTTGGTGTAGTAAAAAGACATTAAGAAGTCCTATGTAACTGGAAGTGTTTGAACAGAAAAAGTAATGGCAGGAAATGAGATTAGAAAGAAAGCCAGAGGCAAACCATATGGAGTTTTATTGAACCAGTGAATACAGAGGTGCTGAAACTCATAATTCTAGAAGAATACATTAGGTAAATAGGAGAATTAATTACAACGTATCATGAACTCATGTTGATGCAAGACACTTTGTTGGAATAAGACAAATTTAACACAGAAGGTTAAATATAAGCTCTATCATAAAGAGCTTATAAAGACACTGTAAACATCCATTATAAAAACATAACAAAGAATAAATTACATAATGATATTTATGGCAACAGTTATATAGCCCTTCATTGTTGTTAAGTGCCATAAAGTCAATGAATAGCAACCCTATATAGGGTTTCCAAGGAGGAGCTGGTGAGTTTGGACCACTGACCTTGAGGTTCAAATCAATTTTGAGGTCCAGTGCTTCTTCTATAGCATAACATAAACAGTTCAGTGATATTAATCATGTTCATCATGCTGTTCAACTAGCATTTTCGAAACTGGGTGTGGAGGGCCATGCATTTCAAAATATGGATGCTGAGCATGTTATTTTTAGTCTGTGCTTAAATCAAGATTGGGTTAGGAACACCAATCACCCTGTGTTCTAAGAACTGTCATTAGTGGATAGAGAATTGAAGGCTGAAAGGATAGATGGCAAAACACATAAACAATCAGGATACATAAACATCTAATTATGATTTGAACTTTAAAGATGAGGTAAAGAGCTCAAGAAATAGACTAACTAAAGAGTAGATAGAAAACCAAAAATAACAAAATAAACATTACTTATACAATGATCAATAAAACAAACAATTTAGGACCAGTAAAGAAGTGAGTTGAGTTCTAGTGGTAGTAGGAAAAGTGGATGACGTTTTCTTAAAGCAATTAAGAAGAAGAAGAAAAAAAAAATGGTATAATAGATTCTCCTTCAAAAGCACAAATATAATAGATCAGATGATAATATTTGCCTAATTAATATGCATAAATATGTGATGGAGATGCAAGACATTTGTTTTAGAGTACTGAGATTGAGGAAAAATAGAGTTCTTGGAACACAACTGCTTAGTAGATGTATTTGGCTAAACCTACGAACATCTGGGGAATACCAGGGTTTCATGTTTCAAAAAAATCATTCATTCATAGATTTCAACAAACATGACAGGACATATAGTCTAGGCAAAGTCTCAAGAAAAATTAAAAAGTTTTTTAGAATGTTGGTTATCTTAGCTAGAACCCTTCTACTGTTTTGTTTTAAATATATTTTTCAAAAGAACATTTATTTTTAAGTCTCCAGAAGAATTTGTTAATAATATGTAGTAAATTGAAGAATAGCTCAAACAGCTGGAAGGAAAACATTTTTTTATTACTAAGCTAATAATTTCAAAGTAGACTAGAAGGCACTTTATCCCTCTGGACACGGAGGCATATTGTTCTTTAGGTTAGCTAAACAAGGAGCTACTAATTAAAATGAGGCATGAATCATTAAATGACTGCAGTTGGACTAGGATATTTTAGTTGATGAAATATTTGTTTACATCAATTGTATATGCTTCATATGATTTCAATAGTGTTGGGCCCTGAGGTGGAATATTTCTGTGGAAGCATTTGGCAATCCTATTATGCCATATATCTCTTTCCTTTTATTTCTATATTTCATTAAATTTACTAATCTGCTTAAGGGATTAAAGAAGAAAATGAAAAAAATAATATCAAAGCTGGAAGAATTACGATTGACAAACTTTTAATTGGCTTATTTTTATTAGTGATTTGAAAATACTTTTAATTCATAATGTGAGTTTTGTAATAAATAGCAAATGTAAAGCTTAATGAATGTTAAGTTTATTTCTATGATTTGGAATGGGAAACTTCTATAATTTTTAACCACTGTCTTTCTGAATGATTAAGAAAAGAACATTATATTGCTTCTACTAATAAAGGTAAAACTAGCAAGCATTTATCTAGAGATTGCTATTCACCAGCTACTGTATTAAATGTTTAATATTTGTTAACACTTGGGTATGAAATATGAGGAGTATGAACCTGTTTTAACAGCTTATTGTTTTCTAGAATAGAGATAATATGAAAAACAATAGTGATACAAAAAAGTTCACATATTTAAAGTTTATATTTCAATGACTTTTAGTATCTTCATAAAGGTATTAAAATAAATGGATAGATAGGTAGACATTTAATTATGAACATTTGAAATAGGTTTAAATTATTGTAAGAATAGTTACTTAGTGGTAATTGCTCAGTTTAAAATCATAATGAAAATCAAATTGGCAAATTAATCTGGTTGATTTATGCACATAAATACAAATATTTTCCTTACTATTGAAGGGCCAGGCTGTTCTGCAATCCTACATTTATTATAATAACACTTATAACTTTCCCACAAATTATACAGACAAAGCCACATCAATATAACATGCCGTAATGGGGAGTTTGAGAAAAAAAAAATGCAAAAGAAAGTGAAGTTAGGCCAAACTTGGCAATGTACTTGCAGTGACAAATGGAGGAAACAATTACAACAGCTTAATATATACAAATTTTTTAATTCTAGTAATCAATATGTTCTATGTTTTCTGTTCAATGTAATTCCAACCATAAAGCAATGACAAAGTTTAATATAGTGTCATTTGTAACTTAAGTTTATAAAATAATGTATGGCATACAATAAAACATAATGAAAAATGTACCAAATATGCAAAATGAATTTTATACTTAAGATGTTCAAGACCAGGATACCAATTATTCTAATCTAATTTTACAGTATAGTTTCTATTATTAGAATATTGAATTGCCTTACCATTGTGTAGCTATGGGCCACCTTCATTAATTCAATGCATCCTTGAGCATCTGCAAATGCTCGGATTCCTAAGCAGTTAGAAGGGTGCAATAGCTTCATGAGAAAGTGGCAGCACACTTCCACTACTTGAGGAAGCTGTAGAAGGCACGCTGCAGCAAGAAGATTTTCAATGGTGTCTTCCTTTAATTCCAAGCAACCTAAACAGGAGTGAATAGAATTATAAAACTCTGTTCAAAGTATAAAATAATATGCATCATTGTATTAATCAAATCTGTGGACCAAAAAATCCACAGTTCAAACTCATCAGATGCTTCTAGAAAACCCACACAATGCTTTTTTTGAAGTCTAATTTTTCAATTAGTTCTTTTGTGAATTATGTTTTTGATGCATCAAATAAATACTTGATTAACCCAAAGTCAAAGGAGCTCTGGTAGCATAGTGGTTACGAATCGGGCTGAGAACTACAAGGTCAGCAAAACTACCAGCTGTTCCGTGGGAGAAAGATGAGGCTTTCTGCTCCTGTAAAGATTTACAGCCTCGGAAACCCTGTACAGGGTCACTATGAGTCGGAACCGACTCCACGGCACATAACAACAACAACAACCCAAAGTCAAGATATATTCTCTTATATTTTTTAATAAAATATGCATGGCTTTAGAATTTATACTTTGGTCCATGATCCATCTTGAGTTATTTTTATATATTATGTATGCCGTGTTACAAAATTTGTTCTTTTTTTTTTTTGTACATGAATATCTGATTGTGGCAGCACAAACTGTTAAGAGATTGTCCTTTCTAAATTGAATTGCTTTTGAACCTTTTGGAGACCAGTTTTCCCTAAATGTGAGAGTTTATTTCTGGATCCTCTTTTCTGCTTCATTTATGTGTCTGTGTTTAGACTAATATCAACTAGTTCTAATCACTGCAGCTTTACAATAACATTTTAAATCAGGTAATATTATTATTCCAACTTTGTTCTTTTTCAAAGTTGTTTTAGTTATTTTAGGTTCATTATGTTTACACAGATTCTTAATGATTTTAGAATAAGACTAAAAAAAAATCTGCTAGGATATTTAGTAAATCTATAGCTCAATTTGCAGAGATATAAAGACTCAACAAAATTTTATCTCCTGACCCATGAACACAGTAAATCTTTAGATAGCCTGCCAAATAATTCTGATGAGAATGTTACTGAGAGTAAATAATAAATTAAAACTAACGAAGGTTGCCCTATCAATGTTCTGAAAGTAAATTGAAATCTATAACATTTGTAGAAGAAAAAAATTATTGATGAGGAAAAATAAATAAAAATATCCCTTTGTAAACACAGTTCTTTTTCTTTTTTATGTTTTGTTGTGTATTGAGTGATAGTTTACATGGGGGAACATTAGTTTTACATTTGTTCTATCCTATATCGTTTCATTGCCTTAGTTACCATCCCATCCATGCATCATCCACTAACAAAAGGGTATACCTTGCATGTCCCCCTGCCCGTACGGTCCTCAGCACCCAGCCCCTTTCCCTCTCTGGGTCTCAACTCCCCAGGCACTCCATCACTTCACGTTGTCCTCTCTTGTAAACACAGTCCTTAAAAAAATATCCTGAGCCTGAAAACTGAGTTTTTGAAAAGAAACAATTTTCCTATGTGCTATTTTGAGCAGTTAGTTCCAATTTACAGTAACCAGTATAAGTGGGTTTGCATTGCCCATTTTTCTGTAAGCTCAGTTAGCAGTCCAATACTTATCCTAAAGTGCCACATAGTCATAATAAAAACTTTCAGTTAGGAATAAAGAAACTTATGCAAAATTAGTAGTATCATCAGAACATTAAGGAGCTGTGGTAGCACAGTGCTGATCACAGGGTGATCTATCCAAACACAACAGCAGCTTTGTAGAAAAGAGATGAAGTTGTCTGCTCCTGAAAAGATTTACAGTCTCAGAAACCCTATAGATGGTGGTGATGAGTTGGAATCAACACGATTAGTAAGCTCGGAACATCACAAACTTAGAAACTATACCCAAGCTGGCAAGAATATATTGATAAATTTAAATTATCCACTCTCCTCTGGTTGATTCCAACTCATAACTAGACCATATGAAGAACATATCATAATAATTGTAGGAAGACGCATTAACAGCTTGCGATATGCAGATGACAAAACCTTGCTTGCTGATAGCACAGAAGAAATACTTACCGATGGAGGTCAAAGGTTATAGCTTTCGATATGGATTATACCTCAACATAAAGAAAACAAAAATCCTTACTACTGGACCAAGAAGCAACATCAAGATTAAGAGAGAAAAGACTGAGGTTATAAGGATTTAATTTTACTTGAATTCACAATCAACCCTTATGGACGTATAAGTCAGCAAATCACATGATGGATTGCATTTGGAAATCTGCTAAAAAAAAAAAAAAAAAAAAGATCTATTTAAAATATTAAATTGCAAAGATGCCTATGATTTGTCTGACCCAAGTCATAGTATTTTCAACCATCTCATTATATATATATATATGAAAACCAAATAATGAATAAGAAAGACCATAGAAGAATTGATGCACTTGAATTATTGTGTTGGTGAAGCATAGTGAATATACTATGGACTGCCAGAGGAACCAATGAATCTCAGTTGGAAGAATGCTCCTTAGAGCAAGGATGGTAAGACTTTATTTCATGTATATATGATCAGAAGGGACAGTTCCTGATAAAGCATATCATCACTGGTAAAATAGAAGGTCAGTGAAAAAGAGGATGACTCTTAGCCAGATGGACTTACACAGTGGATACAACAGTGGCCTCAAAAATAGCAAAGATTGTAGATTGGTGTGACTGACAGAGTTTACATCTGTTGTATGTAGAGTCTTTTATTCAAAGCTGACTCAAAGGAACCTATCAGCAGCAACGAAGCACGGCATATCCCCTGAACAGTTGGTATGATAGCATTTGATATGGTACCTGCCTTCCTAACACCCAAAGCAGATGGAAATGTAAACAATTACAAGACTGAGAGCAATAACAATATAAAAATGAAAGCAAATTTTCTAAGGAAGAAAAGCATTTATGATTATCAAATGACACTTGAGAGATTTTTCTTACATGGAAATGCAGAAAGTATATGAGATAATAGTGTTCCTTTGTTGTCTATAAATGTCACATAGCTATTTATTCCAGATTTCTCTAAAAATCCCACTGCAAAAATCCAAATAAAGTTTAAGAAGACAAAATTTGTATAATATAATATATAATTTTTATGTTCTGTTTTGATACAATAATTTTTCACAAATTAGTTTCATAAGCAGCACCACACACATACACAAGCAAACACACACATTTTCTTAGTATAATGAGGAAAATGTAAGGCCATGGTGGCAATATACAATTGATTTTACTGAATTTATTTTCATTTTTCCTTACATAATATGCAGGCTTTTTTCTGCATCCTATGAATATTGCTGAAATCGATATTTCTAATTAATTGGAAACAATAATAAATAAAACCAGTCTTTAATGGCTCAATTTCTTAAACTGAAACCAGAAGTTTGCCATCCAATAAAATTCGAAGTTTAAAACTAATATTCTTACATATGAATTATGCTTACATAATTCATGCCACTTGAATTAAACCAATAGTAAAAATGAAACACGAATTAATTTTTAATTACAATTAAAAATTTCTGTAGGGAGTTTAGATGGTAAAGTGCAGCCTGAATATATTAAGATACATTTTTATTATGAAAACAGAACATTAAACCTTTCTTCTCTACATGTGTAGTCATTTCATTCAAATGTTTGGCAGTAAGCAAAAGCTATCTTACTGTTCCTTAGCAAGTACCAAGCCTTTAATTAAATTCAATGACACGCAAAACTTTTTTTTTTTTTTTTAACAAGGGGGTTAACGCTTCAGGATAATTCAATGCTTGTCATTTGGCAGTTTAATTTTCTATCTTTCTTCTTAATGCTTGAGCTAGATGGACACCTTCCTTTATTTAAATCTTGTCCTTATCAGTTCTCTACAGGACCTGACACTTTACTAGTCACCGTGCAAATCCATCTCATACATTTGTTAGATTTTTTTCCCTTTCGCATCAATGAGCACAATATATTTTCAGGTATGTCAGGATACTAGGGCCTATGCAAGAGATAAATGTGGAGGGGATTTCTATCAGTCTGAAGACAACCTTAAAATAGAATGGTCTCCAGAGTTTCCTTTTCCAATGTATTATATTTCCTCTTTTATTTTCATAATGTGATCAACAATGTTTGGCTGGAACACAAATCATGCACTATATAAGCAAAATATATTAGCTCTCAAAAGTTATTGGGTACCATTCTCTAATGAGAAAATATTAGTCTTTGTAATTCAAAATTCATGATTTTTATACCAAAGGATGTTATTGAAAGGTAGATATTACAAACCTTAAATGGGAGTGCTCCTTAATATTAAGGACTGTGTGAAATCCAGCGCATTGTTTTTCAGAGCCCATCAAGGAACTTAACACATAGTTGACATTTAATAAAGCTTGGGAGTCATTTAGTGCATTTACAGAGTGAAGACAATTAGACATTAAAGTGCTTAACTGTCAGGCACCATTGCTACCTGCTGTGAACTAGCATTACATTGACAGGATGTATGAACCAAACCTGCAGGGAGTCATTCACAGCAATATGAAAGTCTACTTAAATTACTCCAACTATTTTGAAAGTAAGACAGTCAAAAGTCACTCCAATAAGCTGTAATGATTAATATTTTACAAATCGTTACATATGGTTGCTGTTGTTCTTGTTGTTACATGCCATTGAGCCCGTTCCGACTCACAGCAACCCTGTATAGGGTTTCCGGTGAGCGACTGGTGAGTTTGAACTGTACACTTGTGATTCAAACTAACTTTGCAGTTCAGTGTTTATTCTGTAGTGCCACATTAAGACTTCTTATATATGGCGAAGGGGGGGTGGTGAGTCAAAAAGTAGCCACACTTTGGATGTAGAATTTATTTTAATCAACTTTTAGAAAAGACAAATACATCAATTTTTGACATAATCTCAGTGCTTTTCAACACATTTAATAAATCTGTCAACAAGCTTTTTATAATCCCTTAATAAGAAATTGTTTAGGCTGAGCTGACAGTCATGATTATACCATCGTTTTTACTTCTTCATCAAAGGTATATCTTCATCATTGAAGGGCTGCTTTCAGGG